TAGTCCTTCCAAGATTGACTCGCACTCCGCTTGGCAGTAGACTGCACATACCGTGGAGATCCTGATATGTGTCTGACCTACGAGTTATTCCAGCAGATGACAGTCGCCTCTGGACGGGCAGAACATGGATGTCCATGACATTGGTGTTGGAGCATTTCCAATCAAGCCAGAGCCTCACTAGGGTAGATTGACTCTGAGACCACCTCGAGATAGCCAGAGGCCGTTCCCTGCGATCCCAGTGGCCGCGCGCATTCCCTCAACTAGGCTGTGTCACATTGTCGCGGCCTGAGCCTCTCGCACGCACACTTCTATTTCTCAACCATCCAAACTCCCAAAGCGGCTGGCCCTCAACGCTCTCCCAATACGCCCAATCAAGACCAATCTCTCTACTCGCCTCCTCACTTGGCAATACTGCCTTCTTCCGCCGCATCTTCCCACTCGATTCATCTCCCCACCTTCGCCACCCTCCGTCACGCCGATCCCTCCATGCGCAATCCACCCTTGCATAGCACCTACTGCGTAAGCAGCGGTTAGGCAGAAAGTGGCCTTCAGGGTACTCCTGGCAACAAGAACCGAGCAGGTGGGCGCGGAACTTTGCCCTTCCGGAAACGAGAAACACCAAGTTATGCGTCCTAACACAGGCCCACGGGCCACGGCTCCCTTTCTTTTACTTCTTCTACTTGCCCCGTTTATTCACAGCGGACGGGATGAGACATAAGAGCGAGTCTAAATTAGAGAGCGACTAGCTAAAAGTTACGCATCTGTAGCGTAATGAAATGGGGAAAGATCAAGCTAATATTAAGGTTAAAGTACTTATACAAGTACACTTTAGTTTGACATATCTGAACACTCTAGATCCGATTCCAGAGACCTTCGCGGACCAAATCCCCCGTCTCAGGGAGGAAATACACTTCCACAACCAATTAGGTGTTCTCCAATGTTCTCTCAACAATTATACGACAAATTGGTTGAGGATGATTTCCAGATCCGGATTCTTACTGTCTTAATTACCATCCGCTGAAATGTCCGCTCAAAAGGAGTGTTAGCTCCATACGGTCGCTGTAGTTGAAACCCCTCTACCGAGCTATAAAGCCTTGTCCTACACCTCGAGGGAGTTAAAAAGACAACCGGGAAATATTAGTCAATGGTGTGAAGTGTTAAGCAAGAAGAAACTTAGCATCCACTCTTCTGCGTCTCCGCTGCAAACAGAGCAGCGTTAAGCTCTGGGCAGATGGAGTGTGCATCAACCAGGGAGATGAGACCGAGAGAGGGAAGCCAGTGCTTATTATGACTGATATATACAGGGAGGCCAAAGAGATGGTTGCATGGATCGGAGAAAGCTCTAGCGACTATGTCCTCGCGTTTGGCGCGATCAAATAAGGGCAAAAAAGCCGAAGAAATCGTCAATTGAGGAGGAACTACAGGGTTGGTTCAGTCGAACTTACCAAAGCGCTGTGCAAAGCCTGCTCCAGAGACCTTATTGGTTAAGACTTGGGGTCCTACAGGAAGAGGTTGTCTCTAAAGCGGCTCAGGTGGTATGCGGCTATCGACAGCAACCCTCCGAAGTCTTTGTGAAAGCAGTGGATGCATTGAGGTGGCGGCCAGCAAGGCATGAAGGGAAACACTCTCCTCTTCCCTTCTTGAACTGCTGAAATTTACGGGTTCGTATCCCTAGGAACAAATGATTAACCTACGAGAGTAGGAAGAAGGTGTTTTGAATGTTGTAGGATCTGGTGTATCACCTTCAGAACCCCTCCCGTCCTTTGTATTTTCAGGTTTCATCCCAGCATTTACAAAGCAATGATCCACGGGACAGGATCTGTGGAATTCTAGGCATCGGGATCCACAGAGAGAACTACAAACAGCTCGTCAAAGCTAGCTATTCCAAAAGAAAAAAAAAGACTGAGAGACTCTTCAGCGAGGTTGCTCGAGCCCCGACAAAGGACGATCAAAGGCTCAGAACCATCAGCATCACCTGTGACCGTCGGCGATCAGGAAACCAGCGCCTTTCATTACCGTCCTGGGTGCCCAATTGGACTTGCAAACAGTGAGCGGAGCCCTTATATTTTTACGAACGAGGATCCAACAAAAAGCCCTATCGAGTCAACATCATGCAATGCGTCCGCTTTTCATGGGACTGTCGAATTCTGTATGCTGAAGGGCTTGTCAACGATACGATATCTACCGTAAATCCAAATTGGTCTCTGGACCACATATAAATCCAACCGGAAAGCACTGTCAGATATATTGGTAAACGGCACCCTGCCCAATGGACGACCCATGATGCAAGCGTTCTTTCATGCAATCTCCAGAAATCATGATTTCTGGGGTGCCCAGCCCTTATGGAATTCCCCTCAGACGCCTATGGTTCAGGCTGACTCTTTTTCAATCGCACCTTTTGTCCGTGACTTGTCTGGTACCGAGGGACTCGAGTTACTCGAGAGCCTAGCGCAGTCATTCTTGGGATCTAAAACCGGATTTCGCATCGCTCATCGAGAACATCTGGGCCGGAGAAGAAGATACATTTAAGAGCCAACACAAGCCCAGAGACGCGAGAATAGTTTACTTTCAGCCTCTATACGTATCCATAATAAAGATCGAGTATTGTTGTTGTTGTTGTTGTTGTTGTTGTTGTTGTTGTTGTTGTTGTTGTTGTTGTTGTTGTTGTTGTTGTTGTTGTTGTTGTTGTTGTTGTTGTT